GGTGCCATCTCCAGACAATAGTCAGCGAAACGGCGCGAAAAAACCCATATGTAGCTTTTAAATTAATGATCCTAGCGTTGGCCCCCCTTTCTCTGTTGAGCCCAAAACTAATATTCACCGCCCGCACATTCCGACCCGTTTATATTTATTTTGATATTCGCTGCTTTTTAACTGACAATGCCACAATAAAATACACTGTCGGTGTCAAATCGTCGCTTCGGGACACTTTTCCTGTTTCACCAGAAGTTTCCCTTTCGCTCGACGAAAAGACAATGAAATTCCCTACACAAAATATTGGATTATCTGCTGGTGTAATAACTTCTCCAAGAGTTTTCTATATTCTTTTACTACCTACTATTGAATCTACATAATACAATGTGAATACTTTCACTATCACTAAATTATCTCCGTATGCCACTTAGTTGTCTCTTAATAGAGCGTAACTACTGTAATGATGAATCACTTAAACTATTACTCGAAAGATTTATTTTCTAATCTAATTACGTATAAATTATTTACCAAAGTTAGTCCACTTATCCCACATCACCCCATATTTATAGTACCTGTGTTTATATAATTATTTATATACGGAAGTATTTGTTAAGGAAATATTCAGATATGAAAATCAAAAGCCGTATCTAAAATACAATGGTCCCCTAGCATTCCCCCTTTTGCCGTGTCCCTTTCAGTAGCATTTCATTACGAAAGTTTTAGCAGTCATTATTCACAGTAATTTTACGATTTGGCGCAATGGTGTTTTCATCACAATAAGAATGAGGACGATTGCCAGTGAAAATGTGAGTTTAAATGACGTCGGAAAAGGGGGAGCCCGGCAGGGGCTCCGACCAACCAGCTGCCAATGTGTACTTTTATTGGGCTGTTAATAAATTATAGCAACAGGCGAAGCAAGCCAGGATGCCTATTGTTCATGCATTAACTCAAGTAGCATCTTGGCTTGACATAATAATGAGATTCGGGCTGATATGGCAATGGGATTTAGCTAAATAGAGGTGATCAATCACCGAACTTCGTGTCACTGTGTATACGAGGGCGGGTTTACGCCCGTAAAAGATTTTCCCTCTGTTTGGAAATCTCGACTGGCACCTGAGTCTCGACAACTACACCCAGGATCGTCTAAAACGGGCCGATACAGGCCTTCCTGCATATACATTAGAAAAGATATCGAGACGGAGACACGACGCACACACTCCGCATACAACACGCAAATTTATTATCGGATTAATTTATCACAACCATGATGGAAAATGAACTGCAAAAGGAAATGGAACACGAGCAAAGGCGAGCTTTTGGTATGGGTACATTTAGCCGGAATTACCCTTATTAAAATGAGTATAAGATAAAAAATTACCTAACTTGCTTGTGATGTTGTTATATACTCATTCCGAAGGAAGTTTTTTTAATATGTTAATATAATTATTTGATCTCAAAAAAATTAAAAAAAAAAGAAATTATGTACGTAGTTAGTTTCCTCTAGAAAACGAACTTCTATCAGCAAATGGTCATGAAAACGTTTTAAATGGTTTCAAATATTTCTAGTTCATCCTGGACCATTCCTAATAGCCCTGAATCTGTCCAAGAGTATTTTAAACAGTTCCAAATAGTTCAAGTATCGTCCTAATTTCGAATGCTCCCAATTAGTTTTAAAATGGTTCTAAATGATTCTGAACAGTTCTAAAAGGTTTTGAATAATTCTAATTGATTCTAAATGATATCCTGAACAATTTGAAAACATAAAGAAGTTCACTTTTAGTTATAAAGCCATCGCTTTTCCTCTCAAGCGATATTACAACGGTCAGATACACTATCTTTCTTCCACTTGTTTCATTCACTATGAAACTATATTCACTATGTTCCTTATAAAAGTTAGTTAGTTACTTATAAAAGAAGCGTAACAAATATTTCAATAGATTTTAGAAGAACTAAACATGTAGGAATGGGAAAATTTCGCCGATAAACTGCATATTTGCGGATTCAAATCGCACATGCACGCTCAAAGTGGCGGCGAGTTGCTACGAATGAAACGAAAGTAAACACAATGCCGGCCCGCCGCGAGTTTTATTTGAAATTTCAAACAAAAGTTATTTCGCCAACTAGTTTTCGAACCCGCTGTATGCACGTACAGGCCGTGTCTCAACTACCGGGCGCCGGGCCCTCTTTCATCTTTCCCTTTTGCACAAACGGAAGCCCGACAACAAACCGCTGCCGGTCGAAAAAAAATGCTGCTCTGTCCGAATGCCTCATAATTTCAAACCGAAAACTGAAAATTCTATGCGAGGGGAATTTTAACTTTGTACAGATGTAGCTCCAAATCCGATGACAAGACTTGTTTGGCATAGATTGAAACCAAATAAATGAATTTATTTCATATACCTAATTATTCCACAATAAGTCCATATTTATAAAAATGAAGCATTTATTTTGAAGTAAAAGGTGGAAGCAAACGATTAGAGAAAAAGGTTTTAAAACCATAAAACCTTTTGTTTTAAAGCAACAGCAGGGTCTTCGAAGCAAAACCTCTCTTAATTCACTTCTTTTTATGATTATACCTTGAAGCAATTTCTTCATTTCTTGAAAGAGCAAAAGGTTATGCTTCTTTTTATAAATACGGCCTAATAGTAGCGAAAAAATAATTAATGCTTCTTAATCCCTAAATTTATTTACGTATCCTCTTATTAAAAGTAATAAATAATCCTATTCAGGAACTGATTCGTATGATATTCGAAGAATGAATCGCAACATTTTTTACCTCTAACCGAGCTCTTAACCGAGTCGATATATCCAAGGTATAGGAGAGGTTTTGTAGATAGAGCAAACAGTTGTGGTGAAATTTCTCTTTATTTGAAACCGGCCGTGTTTACCGTGGGGGTTTTAATATAGCCAAAAATTCGCGAACACTTTCTTTTACTTCTATTTTTATTAAAGACAATTCAAATACCAGTAAGCGTCGGGATGTGGAACAAAAAGAAAGGGAAAAATATAGAGTGTAATCAATAACGTTAACTTATAAAGCGGGGTGGAATCTTTATAAAAATGTCGTGTTATCTGCTACGATGCTTTTCGTTTTGAAATTTATTGGATATTTTTATTTTCTTGTAGTGGCTGCTGAATTATTGCTGTTATCAGACCTATTTTAACTTTTTCAATTATTCACGAAGGATTCGTAGTTACTTTATTAACATTCTTTCTTTGGGACACTATGTATTACTCATAAAAAATAAAATAAAATAATGCATTAGATATATGATTTAATTAAGCAAAATTATTAATAGGTAAGCGAAGGAATAAGTCCATTAAAATACTCGCGTGAATTCCGTAAATTTCATTCTCAATTAAATGTACCTACACGTTACGAATATTTTATCCAGATTTGGATACTTTGGCTGCGATCCAGAAGAGACATTGAACTTCTCTATAAAGATTTTCCAACAAAAATATTAGAATAAAATGCAAACAGTATTTAAAAAAAATCTATTCGATGAAAATTAACACAAAATTTACGTTGGCAACAAGTAATATTTCAATGATTATAAATAGTTTACTTTACATTAGAATCCGTGAATTTTACTACCTAAATAACACCAGTATAACATCTCTCTTTGAATATTAATGTAGATTTTAGCAAAACGTATGATCTCCTTCATCATTTCCATATCTCTCGCTCGCTCTTTCTTTCTGCAGGAGCCGCCTTATTATGTCGGGCTCGCTCTATTGTTGTAAGGAAACCCACATATACAATACTTTATGGAAACTAGTCGAGCCGTTTCCACCAGATTTTATCGCGTTTCCAAACTTTACCGGGCGCACTGTGTATATTCGCCGGTACGGCGAATATTTATTGTCCGCGTCTGCAAACGGCAAAAGGTACTCGACTCGCCGAATATTTAGTTGAATACATGGGACGCGAAATATTAACAACACGTACGAATATCGGTCGACTAATCCGCATTTTGTTTTGTTGTGCGGTTGTCAACATTTCAATGTGCCGGTGTGTGACGTACTAATCAATAACTTAGATGCTCCGTTCGTTCTATTATCTCACGCAATGGCTTCAGGATTCGGCGACAATGGGGAATTATTATGAAAAATTCGATTACAAATGGTACTTATTTAGATGGGACATATTCCTGTGGAATTTTGAAATAAATATCTCACTTTAAAATCGAATTGTAAATTTCACTTAAAATAGCAGTTATTTAGGGAAGCTCACCTCTAGTACAACACAGTTTTCCCTATCTAATAAACAATAAGAACAGTTAATAGAGATGGCTTTTTCGTAGTAACACCTAAAGTATACTCCCTAATCAATAACATAGCTGGCAATGGGGAATTGTTTTGAAAAAGTAGATTACAAATAGTGCTTATTTAGATGGGAAATATTTGGGGTGAATTTTGAAATAATTACGTAAAAATTGAATTGTAAATTTCACTTAAAATAACACTTCTAAGGAACTCCACTTCTAGAATAAGATAATAGATATGTATTAGGTACAAATATCAGATATTTCATAAAAACATTAAAAATGTACTCCCTATGTTCCTAATCAATAACTTAGCTGACAATGAGGAATTGTAATAAATTCAATTAGAAATTTTTCAATAATTTAACAGTTATTTAATGAACTATTATTAGCAAGTACTTATTAGAGATAGATAGTTTTATAATACCACTCAAAAAATTACTCTCTAATTAAAATTTAATTCAGAATTTCATCCACGTTGTTGTTATTAACATTTCTAAACCATCTAGTTTGATTGTTTATTAAGCACTAATTACATACTAAACACATATGTATTTATTGGTATAATTTATTGATTCGGTGCATATGTAAATTACCACGCTTTAATATTTATCGTAGGTATAATAACAACACGATAATAATTTATGCGTGCATTCGAAATTAACAAGTTTTATAAAATTCTGGCCAACTAATCGCGCGCAATTTGTATGTTTACAGATCCCATGATGGTCAAGAAGATTCATGCTATTCGCAAAGCTGATGGTGCCATTCTTATGTAGGCATGGTGCTGCACGTCAGTTTCATATTATGGCAGCAACGCAAGCTACATTCCTGGTTTACACTTTGTTGCAAACAGTTTTTACTGAAGGTAAGAATTGTTTACTGTTCTCTAACCCTAAATCTATATTAAGCAACAATTTAATATCTAAAAGTCCAGAAAAAAATGATACTATCTAGAAATGTTCCAGAAGAATTTTATATTGAAATTAATAATTGTCTATAAGTGCCTCGAAGCGTATTTATTAGGTCTACAAGTAATTAGAACAAATTGCCCAAAATCCTTAATTAATAATCCAATCTAAAACTGTTCTCAGAGGTCTAATATAATCTAGATGAGTCCCACTCCCAGAGTAATCTTGTTAAATCTAAAAGTGTTTTTCATAATTAAATCTCGTCTAAAGTATCCAGAAGAGTATTATTGGGCCTATAAGTAATCACTAGAGACTAAATCCAGAAATGCCCAAACCCTTAATTATTAATCCAATATAGAAGGGTTCTCAAAGGCCAAATATAATCTAAATGAGTCCCAGAAGAATCTTGTTAAATCAAAAAGTGTCATCCATACTTAAATCTCTTTTTTAAGTATCTATCCAGAAGACTATTATTGGGCCTGTAATAAAGTTACCACTGAAGACTAAATTGATCCAGAAATGCGCACAACAACCCAATATGGAAGCTTTCTCAAGAGTCTAATAAAATCTAGCGGTGTTCACAAAAGTTTGAATAAATCTGAAATAAATATTTGAAATGATTCTTATAGAATCATAAAGCATTATACATAATTAAATTAGTTCTTCATATACCCAGAACGGTTGCGTTAGGTTCATAATTAACCCCAAGAAAATAAATGGATCGAGAAATGCCCAAACGACAATTTAATTCAATCTGGAAGTATTCTCAAGAGTCTAATAGAATACAGCAATGTTTACAATAGATTTAATAATTCTGGAAAGTGTTCCAAATAAACCTTGCTGTCACTTGTAAATAAATCAATTCTACGAGTGTCCAGTGTTTATTGGGCCTAAAAGTAATCTCAACAGACTTAATGGGACCAGAAATACCTACAACAATTTAATCCATTTTGGAAGTGTTCTCGAGATCTAATATAATCCAGCAGTGTTTACAAGAGTTGTAATCAGTCCTGAAGAAAACTAATCAAGTCTAAAATTATGCCATATAAGAGTTTGTTCGAATGTAGAAGTGGAATTATTAAATTTCATGGCACAATATTAAGAGAAACTTAAGTTTTCATCCAATATTTGATGCATCTCAAAATTGTACTAGTAAAATCCAAATTGGGCTTCGTGGAAAAGATGAGTTTATGAAGATCCTCTATATTAATCATGAGGCGAAAGTTCCCGTGCAATTGTCGCTGGAGCGACTCGCGATAAACAACAGGAATAGCAGTAATTCGTTACTGACTAAAAAATAGATGGAAAATATTTTCATAAAAACATCCATCTCGAATTCCGTACGATACGAGATTCACAGCAATGTAAAAATGTAGCTTTACAAATTGAATTGATTCAAAAGAATAAAATTCTCGAATATCAATCCGCTTTGGATATAGGTATTTGTGACGCGACTTTGAAAAATATTTTATATCTTACGTGCATTATTTTCTGGAATTTTATTTGGAATAAATTCGTGTTGTCGTTTGACGTAACTTATAGAAAACCTAATAGAAAAATAGGGTTTTTCCAAAGAATTTATTTTATTTCGCATAATAAATTTAATGAAAAATAGAATCATTGCGAGTGCATGTACATTGTAAACTGGGAAAATAATTGCAACCGATGTCATGGCTATTTAATAAACAGATTCCTGGCGTAATTGTGATCCTAAGATTTTGCCTCGTGGAATTAAATGATAGGAATTCTAAAGACCGGACTAAAATGCAACGGCGAACATTCTTAAGATTTGCAAGCAAATAGACCCACATAATTCTAAATGAGTGAAGGCCCCTGGTTTCCGTCGTTATTTCAGGAATTTCACCGTTGCTCAAACAAAATATGTAGCAAGACCTACCGACAGATATTCCACACTAAATACGTTATGTTTAATTAAAATGCCATCATATGGTGAACACGAGAATTTATTCAAAAATCCATTTTCTTTTTAACCCCTTTATACGAAACGAAATAAACCTTTTTTTTAATGTCTTCTATGTTAGAAGTGGAAATACTTTCGCAGGAATACTTTGTATTATTGATTATAGAAGAATTCATTTCTGGAATTCTGTCATAACGCCCCATTGTCGTTTCCGGTTTTTATTCCCGGAAAGCTCTCTTTCCCTTAGAAAAAATAAACCAACAAGAGTTTCGCGGAGGTAAAAGAAGTGTAAAAACGTTTCTACTTTATTATACGAGTAACACAAATTTCATTTTAAAGCTCGCGTTCGGACATTTTCGCCATTCTTTCACTTTGTACTTTCCCGTTATGTCTCGAATCGGTTTGACTCGAACTGCCTTGGGAACAATACACTTTTACTTAAAACGAAATCTGCTGCTCCGCAAAGTGGATATTAACGCTAATTAAGATCATTGATAGCGTGTACAGGATCATTTCATTGTAATTACACACCTTTATACAGGGTAGGTCAACGAAACATCACAGTCTACTCACAATCACCAGAGTAGAGAAAGATTATAAAGCACTTACCTGTAGGGTTTATATGAAAAGCTCATTTTATTTCTGACCTCCTTGGTGCAGGAAACGCCCTGCATATGTGCGGTGATGCTACATGGAAAAGAAAACGTCGGAAGTTTTGATGCACGTACACCGTGAACAAAGAAGTTAGTTTGGCAAAAAAAATACGAAAAATATATATTGTGAGCCGGATAATGGCGTGGTTTCTACGGCTAAACAAACAATCTGAAAAGTGAACGAAGCGCGAGTTTTATGTAAATGCTCGGTATTCAAATATTAGCTCCTCTAATTAACTCAGACCTAAAGGCTATAAAAATTCTAATTCCATATGTAAGGCAATTAAAAAGCCCTCTATGACGCCATCGAGAAGGCCTCGCATTAAATTTGAAAAAAAGCGGGGAAAATCCCGTATTTACTATACACTGAGTGAGCAAAAAAAATTTTTTTCACTCAAAGTAACTCTTATAATCGTTATTTTGGAATACATTTATAAAATTATTTCAACTCTACTACCAACATCAGCGACTTGTCCCAGTTTCCAAAATCGAATTCGAGTATACAGGGTGATTTAAGTAAGTACCTGCATAATCTGTTTCCTATTAAAAACACATAAATTAAATATAATAGGTTATTATAATTCGAAATAAATGGCGATATAAGTAACCGTTTGTGACAATATTTAACGGGGAAATTTGGTGAAATTTATTATATCCTTGCCGTTATTTCTGAAATATGGGGGAAAGACGGTTAATGCACTGACCGGCCACCTCGATAAATCTACGGCCTGTCCGAATCGATTCGACCGTATGTAATTATGTAATTGGTTCCGGTTGTAAAATATGTCAGAACAATATCTGTTATTTTTCTATAAAATTCAATAACAACGCGAAAATTTTTTTAAAAAAATGCAATGTAGTGCAAAATTAATTATCTAGATTTATTATTACAATTCAATTTAATATGTAACGAGTACAAAAATTTAGTACAACGTTTATATTTTATTAATTTAATAGCATCCGAATGAGTAAAATACCGCTTTTAATCATAACGAAATATTTAGCCGGCTGAATTCCGCGTAATTTCAAACATTCGGTTGTATCTAGGATAGAATCTGGAAATCAAATTCCAGCACTTTATAAGCAGTTTAACTACAGAATGAATAGTAATTTCCGCGTACCTGTGGAGCAATGTAAGCATTTGTGTGAACCTAGAAACGTTTCGCAAATAGTTCCATATTTTCTCTGAGCTTCATTCGTCGAATGTAGGTATGTATTGTTATATGAAGAAGGAAGATTAGAAGAAAAAGCTTCTTGGGGTATTGTAACGGAATAAAATCGATACGTTTTCGATGTATAGCTACGTATTGATTACCGAAGTAAAACTGTCTTTTCTAGTTTAAAATTATTCAGAGAAGTCGATGAGTTTTCTTTATCCCTAGCCGGGCGAACTCTTATAGCTGTTTTTAATATTCTCCACATTCCTCTATCTGCTTTGAGGTTTTTATTATTAGTATGAAAATTTCCTTGGGAGTGAATCGATGTGTATTTAGTTTAGATTTGATTTATTCCCGAATTGAATTCTACCCGAAGGTATATGTCAAAAATTACAATTTCAGTATTAAATGAAAATACCTTTGATTTCTGAATTGCCTAGGTATACAGGGTGGCATATTAGTAAGGAAAAGCTAAATATATTTGTACTGTAAATGGTATGTATATTAAAAAAACTGCTTCAAATATCTGGCCTTATGCTTTCCAAAAATACTTATACTTTTGTGCAATTTTATATTGAGTAGATTTAAAATGACCACTTGTCCATTATGAAAATCGTACTACGTTTACCACTCTGTAGAAACTATATGAATTGAATTGAAATTAAATTTCAGCCTTCACAAAATTGCAAATATCCTGAAAATGTATCTACAAAATGAATTTTTCGTAAATTTTAATCAGACCGTTTACTTTACGGTGTTAGTCCAAACACAAAGGTAACCTTTTCTCTTTTATTAACTACCAAGAAGTAGATTCATTCTTATAAACAGGTTGTTCCATTTTAAAAAGTTTCAGTTTGGTCAACCACTGCAAAACGGGACACTCTGTATAAATGTAACTAATTTTAAAATAAGCGGCTTAAAATACTAATAAGGCACCCTGCAAATAGAGGCTTTGAAATCAATTTAGAACTCAAATTGTAGACAATTTACAGTTTCTATACAAATGTTAATAAAATCCTTGGGGAAGGATTTTTTAGACTAAAATCAATATTTAGCCTAAATATTCCACCAATATTTACGATTCTGTGTATTTTTGGGCTAAGAAATGTTTGCCATTTGCACAATATTGTTTCCTTTTCCGTCGTCTCCGGTTGTATTCCGGGCATTAGTCGGTTAGCACTCCGTCGGAAGGGAATCCTGCAATGAACTCTTTGCATTAGCAACAC